TGGGGCAAAAAGTGTGTGTGCTGGGTGAGTGGGGTCCTTCATGATGCAGGTGGCCCTCTTCCTGCATCTGGAGGTGTAGATGTCTGTGATAAAGATGCAAGCTAGACGACGTGTAAGGGTAAGCTAATGCTACTCTGCTATAGTGGGAGCCGAGCGTAAAAGTATGTAAATGTCAGTTAAATACGGTTTAGTAATACATGCTGTGTGTGTGTTTCAGATGATTCTCCAGCAAAATAATCGCAGCAGACTTAGTCTGTTTACGTCCAGCTCTGAAGCCACAGCATACATGTGAAGAAGAGAGGGACTGTTACCTTCCCTGCCCTAAACCATCATTGTATCATTTCAGTATAGATGTTGACACTAAAGATTTATTAAAAATATCTGGGCTTTTGTTATGACACTTCACTTTTTGTTATTTACCAAACACTGTAGATGGATGGATGGAATTATAATAATAAAAATGGCCTTAAGAGTTAAAATAACAAGTCATTTAAATTTGATGTTTTCAGGCCGAGTGAGCTGCCTTCATACATCTCCTCCTACATGTCTCTGTGTGAGTGCAGCTACAGCGTGCGCTCTCAGGACATTATTACCTGCAGTGTTCCCTCAGTGTGGACTGAACTAGACTAAAGGACCTTCTCCTACTCCGCTCCTGTTTCCTGGAATATCTTGTAAAAAGACCTGAATCTGTCGACCTTGACCTCTCTAAATGGCTTCAAACATCTGATAAGTTCCTTCAGACATGTTCCTGTTTTTAGTTTTTTATATCTCTTTATAATGTAGCTGTTTTTGTTTCATTTTTTTAACACCATTTTCTTTTGTTTGTACTTCTCGATTTGTACGCATTCTTTGATTGTCCAGTGTTGTCATCATTCTTTGTTAAAGAAATCAGGTCTCTCTTGTAAATGAGTCAATTCAATTCAGTTTATTTATTAAGTGCCAAATCACAACCAAGTTGTCTCAGGGACTTTACAGGAACATTCACATAAAATTAGTAAAGTTCTCTATCTAAGAATCCAGCAGACAAGTTGAATCTTGGCTTCGTTGCAGTCTCCCATCCTGAGCAAGCACAGTGGAGACAGTGGAAAGAAAAACTCCCTTTAACAGGAAGAAACCTCCAGCAGAACCAGCTCAGGACAAGAGGCCATCTGCTTCGAGTCCCCAAGGCTTAATGGTATTAACCTGTAGAAATAAAGGTTGAATGAAAAAATATTTGTAGGAATTGATAAACTCAATAGGAGCACCATTCGAAGATAAAATAGATGGAAAATGACTCTTATAGGTCACTCTATGTTCCTCCCTTTTTTGGAAATCAGTGTTGACTACAGTCATTTCCATTCTCTTGGTAAAATCCACCACCATCTGTCCTTTCTGGTTTCTTTCCTTGACTCCAAACCTACCCATCACTTCCTCATCCTCTGTTTCCTTCACCAACATGTCCATTCAGGTCTGCTCCCGTCACCACTCTCTCCTCCCTGGGAATACTCTCCACCACTTCATCCAGATCTTTACAAAATGTATCTTTCTCCTCCTCATTACATCCAACCTGTGGAGCATAACCACGGATGATGTTTAGCATCAGACCTTCTACCTTCAGACACATCACCCTATCTGACACTCCTTTCACCTCTACTACATTCTTTACCAACTCCTCCTTCAGGACCACCCCTACTCCATTTCTCTTTCTATCCACACCATGGTGAAATAGTTTGAACCCTGCTCCAATGCTGTGAGCCTTGCTGCCCTTCCACATGGTCTCTTGGACACATAAAACATTTACCTTCCTTCTCAGCATCATGTCAGCCAGCTCTCTACCTTTGCCTGTCATTGTCCCCACATTTAGAGTTGCAACCCTCAGTCCTACATTCTTCACTTTCTTCTTCTCCCTCTCTCTCCTGACGTTTCCCTCCTCGTGGTCTTCAAATTTATTATTTATTTATTAACCCTTATTTAACCAGGCAAATCCCACTGAGATCACAGATCTCTTTTGCAGTGGAGGCCTGGACTTGAAGGCTCTTTAAATTTAAAGCTCTTGAATCATTTTTCAGAAAAGGTGTTTGCAGCTGAATGCTCCTGTCTGGTGCTCTGGTATTTATTTCCACAGCTCATCATCGATAAGTCAACAAGACTCGTTGCTACTCAAACCCTGCAGCATTTTTCTTGCAGGCACTTTAGAAGTGAAACGTGGTGTTCAGGTTTCAATATGAATACTAATTATCTTTAAAAACAAAAAAGGTGCTCAACTCCAAACAGTGATGTAAAATTTAATTAATCTTGTTTTATGTATCAAGGGAGAAGCTGAAATCTTCCTATCAGAAGCTGAGTTGAAGTAATTTTTCCAAACTTGTTGCTGTTGTAAATTTGCACCCGTGGACATTGAATGGTACTTGTGCACGGTTAGCATAAACATGTCAGAATAAACAGGAAAAAAGACCCAAATTATTAGTCAGCTGTCCTGCTGCTTCCTGTGCAGACGACTAATTCATGAGACAAGCTCTGCATTCAAACTATTCATGGACAAACTTCTGCAGGATCAAATGTTGGTTTGAAGCTCATGATGAAAACTGTCTGGTCAAGTTTGAAAATCTCACAGATTTACCTGCTTCTTTAAGGCATCTTCACAACAACAGAATAAAGGAGATGGGAGACAACTGTTTTGCTGGACTGGTGAACCTGGAGACGCTGTAAGTCCTCAGTCATTCAGTCATTTGTGTGTAGCTGCAAACCTCAGTCTGAGTCAGTTTGACTTCTTGTTTGTATGTCAGACAGCTCCTCCACCCTGCTCCGCTCCAGTCCTCCAGACATCATTGTGTCCACTTCCTCCTTTAATTGCTCTAAGATAAATAGAGCAAAGTACATGATGGTTATCAAAGCTGCCCTTCCACTGCTCTGTTCCTATGGCTGCACAGCCATGAAGAATCTTTGAGTCACAACCATAGGGACGTCCTGCTAGTTCAGTTTTCAAACCTGTCTTTTCTGTCTAAAATCATTTTTTCCCTCATTAATTTTTCAAGGCTGGGTTTCTTAAAGCAAATCAGTCACAATTTATTCAACTCTTAATGAAAATATACTGTGTGTTTTGGCCAGAATACATCAGCCCTACAACATCCAGATGTTGGTTGCTCATCTTTAGAGGCAGCAGATTTTAGGTTTCGAGACCTTTAGAGTCTTCGCTGTTTTGTCTGTTTGTGAAGATGGTTGTATTCAAACATAATTACCACTGACAGAAAAAAAAAAGATGGCAAACCGACTGTCACACAGCAAATTAAAATGTTTTGCCTCATTTTCTGGACTCGAATAATTTATATCATTGCAGTTAGTTTCTATTTTAAAATGAATTGTATTACTTATAGAAACATGATTGTGTGTTAATCCCTTGGTTATTGCTGCTGACTTCATACACTGAGTTCTGTACGCAGATTATACATGTTGGTATTATTGAGTAAACAACACTTAGGGAGCATTACAATCAATCTGGTTCTCCATCAGATTATGACGAGTTCTTCCTTTTCCCACGATCCACCTCTCAAGTGAGTCAGATAAAATGGGGCCGTATGGTTTATGCTCCATTTTGCTTCTAAGCTGGCAAACGGGTACATTTGACTGGGTAAATTAGTGGAAACACAGTTTATTCTTTGAGAATGTGAGACAACCACGCTCACTTCCTGTGTCCCTTTTTGTTTAGAGATCTTAACTTCAACAACCTGATGGAGTTTCCTAAAGCAATCCAGGCTTTGCCCAAACTGAAGGAACTGTGAGTTCTACTGTTAAATTAGACATTTCACTGGGAAAATGAGATGTATGCATTTTGTTACATTATAAATACTCAGTTTGAAGTTTTAATATTAACATAAATATTTTTATGTTGTTCATTTTGTAATTTTACTCATGGCAGTTGTTTTAATTTAGCAGAAGTTAACTTGTTTCTGTCTTTTGTAGTTGATTCAACAGACCAATCATAGTTTTGTTTTGTCAAACTAATTGCTTTGACGTTCTTCCTGCAGAGGCTTTCACAGCAATAATATCGCTTCCATACCTGAAGGGGCCTTTCATAACAACCCTCTGCTGCGAACCATGTAAGCCCGCAGCTCTCAGGGTGTACAACTTTATGCTCAATACCTTTTGTAGGACACAAGTTTGAGACTTGACAGAACAAATCTCCAGAAGTTGGTGCCATACTCGCACTCCAATTTACTTTCCATTGCACTTCCTGTGTTCTTGTTGCCCTCGCAGACATTTTTATGACAACCCCTTGTCATTCGTGGGAGCCTCCGCTTTCCAGAACCTGTCAGACCTGCACTCCCTGTAAGTCCCACTGTTAGGGTTCATCTTCTGCACCCCCACCAGCCATGAGGTTTACTCATCACATTTGTTCCAGGATGTTGCGTGGAGCCAGTTTGATGGAGGAATTCCCCGTCCTTTCATCGACTAACAATCTCGAGAGTTTGTGAGTGAACGTCGATTCTGTGTCTTTTTCTGCTTGTGTTTGTGACAGAAGGTAATATTTGTTTTGAATCTCCAGGACGCTCTCAGGAACCAAAATATCATCCATACCCAGCGATCTGTGTGAGGAGCTGAAGTTGCTCCGGACGCTGTAAGAAACTTTCCCTTTTCTGTCACGTTTGGAGCTCGTACCTTGGTGGCCGTTAATGATTCACTCTGATTGGAGGGTTGAAGAGTTTCAGATGGAGAGCTTTCATTGTCCCTGTTTGTTCACAGCTCTTAATAAATGCGTTAGCATAGCCTGAGTCATTGATAGAGTCTGGAACTTCGTGCAAATGATTTTGAAAGAAATCTTTATTTGTGTCACTGAGTGTTTTCTATCAGTCTTATTCTGAAATTTTCCTAAATATGAGAATGAGAAATGACTTTATATCAAGATACATAATCTTGTAAAATCCCTGTCATTTCAACTTTCTGCTTTAGGCTGCAATAGATGTGTGAACAGCTTGATTTTTTTGTTTTTATACGACAGTGGAAGGCAGTATATCATGGTACAGTCTCCGTGACAAGAATATGTTTTTAGGATTCAAACTTGACACCAGCCAAAAAGAATTGTCAAAGATTTTATTGATAAGCAGCTTGAGTCCAAAGGCAGGAGAAAGGAGGATTAGTGATCTGGTCTTCACTGATACTGAACAGAAGGACACAGACAGTCAGTAACCTCCACTGACAGGTGCGGGAGGGGCTCCTTCAGTTAGTTGAAGGGGATGATGTCATCGACAGTGAAGACTGAGCGGTTGTGAAGCCGAGCAGAGCAGTGCATTGTTTGAAAGGAAATCCCAACATGAGGTCCAGAGAAACAGGGTCAGACACTCGTGATGTGTCCTTCTGTGTCGAGGCTTCTAAGCGTGTGTTGATTAATCCAGGAGGATTTATGTGGAGCGTGTATCAAGGCTTGTATTGATGACGCATGTAGTGACGTTTGAGGCCTCGCTAGCGGGTCGTACCATGTGACCGATTCAGGAACTGGCTTGTTTGTATGCACGAGATTCGAAATATAAGAGGCAGACAGAAAAAAATCCATCATCAATCATCGTCGTCATCATCAAGACAGATTAAGATCATTTGCAGATCAAATTTAGACTATTTGAGGTCCTCACAAACATGATTTCTTATTTTCTTTATCTTATTCAACTTAAAGCTTCACAAACCAGTTATATTATTATGATTCATCTACCAGTTTTACATTTATAGTCCACTTGATGGTGCAGTAGAGCATATGAAGCACCATGGCGCGTTGGATCATGAGTCGAGCTATTTGATGGAAAGCATCGGTGCTTCATGAAGCTTCATCTCGCCATCACTATCATACACAGGAAATCAGAGGTCCAGTTCCAAGTCCAAAACAAAGTCCTTGAGACGTGGCCGTAGTTGTGGAGGCAGGGTTCGATACCATGGGCAGAGAGGTTAATCCAGATCAGACGAGGAGAAGGCAAGACAGGGAATCCAGAAGGCAGGCGTGAAATCAAGACCAGGCAAGAGAGCAAGACTGTGACAAGAATGCTGGACATTTCCCCAAAGGAGTTCAGTAATCTGGCAGAGAGTGAGAGCTTGGCGTTTAAGTAGGGCAGGTGACAGGTGAACAGCATGAATGATGTTTGTGGTGAGTGAACAGAGTGGGTGTGGTTGGGTGACAGGAGCAAACTGAGACATGACATGAGCAGGAGAAAACAGAGCTACAGTATGACAGGAGAGGTAGAAACATTTGTTGAAAAGGTATCATGTATGGCCCAAAACTTCTGATCCACTCAAGATAATTGAATGAAAGTTGATATGCTTATGCATCATCACTAGACGGAGTGTTGCATACACATTTCATCACCCCTGCTTCCAGCTCAAGATCACAGTCAAATATTATATAAGGTGTTTGGGCCAGTGCTATAGATTGCTGTAGAATAGTTTGTCCATGGACGTATAATGCGCCTTATGCAGTTCTTTACTCTTGTTTTTAGGGGGACAGAGCTCAAATTCTTAGCTAGTCTTAATTGTCCCTTTATCAAAACATTTTATTGTTTTAAAAAAGTTAAATCTGGTCCTCTGGACATTCAAAAAAAAACAAAACAAGGCAAATCAACCAAAAAAATGTAGAAACGTTTCGTCTCTCATCCGAGAGACTTCCTCAGTCTGAGGAGCTGTATTCAGCTCAGTCTCTTAAATAGCACCTTCTTAGAGTGGATCAACCAGTTTGCTGCTGACAACCAAAACCAGCTGCTCACATGCTCAAGAAGGACCATCAGCCTAACAATGGATCATTAGCACCTGATGGCTGTTTACTGTTCACAGAGGGCTGAGTGATACTAGCAATCACAGCATTGTAAGAGGGGGACAGTTGAACC